CAGCTTTCTGACTTGTTGGGGCCTTTTAGGACTGGTTCGAGAGCCTAATCTGTGCCATGAAGCAAGGGTGTGTGGTCTCTGCTGGTGGTGTTATAGGTGAAGTACGAATTTTGGAAGCCTGTTACTATGCTGTGTGTGGTCAGGTTTATAGCAAGAAGTTTTGTTACTGGTAGGCTGCTGGTATGGGGCTTATATGCTGCTGTTGGTCTGGCTATAGGGGTTGGTTGATAGTGTTTCTGGAGTCACATTTGGTGGTAGTATTTCAGGGTCCCCCTACCCTGCTCTGTCTTTGCTCTTCCTTTTTTTCTTTCTCTTTGTTTCCTTCATTGGTTCCTCACCAATTTAGGGTCTTGTGCTTTCTACTATTCTCTCTTTCTTGATGTAAGTTGTGTATGCTATACTTTCTTCATCAATAAAGTGGGCTTCTGTTGATCAAAAAAAAAAAAAATTCATATTCAATTTATGTGCTTTGATAGATCTTGTGGTTGAAAGCTATCCAAGGTAGAAGGGTGGACTACCCTTTTTTGTACCTTGTCTTCCAAGCTTTTACTCTTGTATTTCCTATCTCTTTATCAACTTTTTTTGAACTTTTTACCACTGAATTTCAGAGATTTTCATAGGGTAAAACTGTGATTTTGAAGTCCCAAAATGGAGGGGTTAGTCTCCCCTCCTTGTGCTTGTTCACTAGCTTCATGTCCTTGTTATTTTAGCTAGCTTTTTCAAGCCTTCCCATAAGAATTTCAGTGCTATTTTTGACTGTTTTAGGACTGTTTTAGAATGTTTATTTCATTTACGCTTTGTATAGTATGTTTGTAGTATAGACGTCCTTGTAGGTTTAGTGTTTTAAGCATTAGACACTAACCTGATTGAGTTGATAGCATTTATTTCAAACTTTCCATACTTGTGTTCACCTCTAATTACCTCTGCACTCTCCCTCTTTTCTTGGATTTTTCGTTGCTTCGAGAGTTGTTCCAAATAAGTATTGTTTAAAGCTTGAGATAGAGATCCTTGTACTTAATAGTTTAATCTCTTTGGATGTTTATTACCAAAGGCATAGCATCTCTCTCATGCCTAAAGCAACCCTTTGTTTGACACTCTTATCCATTAGTGGACTTAATCTTCGTTATTGGACTACAATGACTAATGAATGGAAAGGTAATTAAAAGATGTACTAAAATTGGACTAAGAGGTAACAAGATAATAAAATCAACTTGGGTTCAATCGGACGTTAATTGAATTCATTAAGTTTTGAGCCATTTCATACTCTCTTGTGATGATAATGGTTCAAAATATCAAGTCAATCACTTCCCTTGATCAATATCATGATAGGGAGAGGTTATTGTTAGTCTTTTAGCTTCATTTATTAAGCTTTTGTCCCTTGATTCATATACCATCATGCAATGCAATGCGTTTGCGTCGATTAATGGCTTGCAAATCAAGTTTATCCCTCCTTTAATCAGTTTGATAATAGG